CCCATTTCTAGTAGGTTGGAGGCCATCGCTACTAGAGTGGAGGCCATTGCCATTAGGTTGAGGGCCATGTGACATCAGGATGTGACGATCACTTACGATCCCAACTTCCGTGGTGGTAGGCCACACTGGGCGCATCTGGGTGATGAAGTTTCGCGCCCCAAGCGTTTCGCAGGCTGGGGAGTGTGAACCAGCTCCAGCACTTCCCGAACCCCAAGGTGGGAATGGGAGAGAATGTAAGTGCTTCGAACCTGCATTCGCGGTGTCGATTTGCTTGTGGGCCTCATGTTTCAAAAACGGAGTGCGGAGATGTTTGCGCTTCCTAAGTCCTTCCATTTGAGGCTGGACTCCCTAAGCGCCGCAAAGACGAAGCTGTTTGGAGCTCAGATCTTTGTATATGTGATGCCCAAGTTCTGTTTAGAACAATGTCCAAATAGCAACTCCAACCTAATAGGAATGGCCTCCAACCTACTAGGAATGGCTAATGGCCTCCACAATGTCCAAAAACACCATATGTTTTGGGATCTATGAACTATTTGAATTGTGGCTTTCTCATGCAATGCCGGACTGAGACTGGCTACAATGCCCGGGGCGAAGGGTACAAACAAGCCTTGAATGTCTCCCGATCGGCATTTCTACTTCGACAAGATGCAAAGGACTGACAGCTTGAGTCTAGAGTCTAGAGGCGTTCAAGAGTGGTAGCTTTTTGAGGTGTCACTATGTAGCTGAAGCATTCTGTGAAGCATGGTGAAACCATTTTCCGTGCTGAGCCAAAAAGAAGACAACGAATAGCCAGGCTGTTTCGTTTCATGCAACTGTTGCATCCAACAGCCTCGCCGCCAAATTTTCACAGGACAAGATTAAGGAATCTGCCAAGTTTCGGTGAGATCCCTGGCAGTGCCACAAAGCTCCTAGTAGTGATGCCCTTTGCTCCTAGTAGCGATGCCAGGAGCCCCTAGTAGCTTCTTATTACTAGCCAAGAACGTTGTGGTTGGCTTGGTGGAACCTATTTCAATTTGTATGTTGCACTCGTTGCACCAATGGAACTGCTGGAGGTTTTCAGACGATGCATCGCGGACTATGACTACTGTGATGTCCTTGACATCTTTGCGGGCGTGGGTCTCAAGGAGTTTGTGCGCCATTCATTTATAATAGCAATATTGTTACTACTCGTAAGGCACTTGTTCCTAGTAGCGATGCACTTGTTCCTAGTAGCTTCTTGTTACTACTAGTAAGGCACTTGTTACTACGATTAGTCGGCAGTAGTCGGCCCGTTTCGAAATTGGGAAGACCCGTTTGGAGAGACTCTTGATGAGTGGAGTGCTGATACTACAAGACTGACTGTGCCACCAAGTGCCTGGAGGGCGGCAACATTTTTCCTAATTGCAACATATAAGAGGCCGGCTTCATTGGCCTCGTGGGAAGAACTAGTAATGTGGTGCATCCCATTTGATGAAAGTTGGCTAAGATCTATGAAGGAATGTTGTTGGCTAATGTTGCCCAGATTGATCCAGCCTATGAAGAACTGTGTGAGCTCTTGGCTCAGACGTGAAAAGTGAGACAAAGTGAGAATGGGAAACCAATTGACACGATTGAGTGAGAATGGGTCGCCTTCCATGGAGCGTCTGGAGGGTTTGAGTTCGGCGTCTGCATATGTCGCCAGCTCTCTGGCTATGACCTCCCTGACCAAATACGCGGCATCTGCTTGGCGCTTTCCAGGCTCCAGTTTCTTGCTGCTGATTGAGTGTTGGGGGACCGTCCTGGCTCTTGGCACCTCTCGTGACTCTCGTGGTCGTCGATATCAGCCTCTGGCAATTCCCATTTTGAGGCATATGCTTTTAGTTACCGTGACCAAGGCTGTGAACATGTATTTGAGCTTTTCGGCGATGAAGCGAACCAGCTTGCCGGTCTACAATGTATTGAAACGATTGCAGCCAGTTTATGCGATGATTCAAGATAGACTCATCCGGGGAAGCCGCCCAACAACCAAAGAGTTTTGGGGCGTGGTGCTCATGTCTGTGGGCACAGTCGTCACAGGCTTGGGTGACCTCGATTTTGATTTAGCTGGGTATGGCTTGGCATTGATCGCCGCTGCCTGTCAGTCTTTGTACTTGGTCCTAGCGCGTCATGCGCAGGATCAAGTGGCCCTCTCATCGATGGATTTGGTGTTCTACACTGCTTTCTACAACTCGGTGCTTTTTGTGCCATTGACACTCCTGGAGCTTTCGGAGGTTCTGGTTTTCCTGCAAAGAGCTGGAGAGAAGTACAACTTCTTTCAATTCCTCATTCCTTACGTGATGGTAGGCGTCTTGCTGAATTATGCAACTTTCTGGTCCACTGCAGTGAACGACCCTGTGGCCACAGCAGTAGCTGGAACACTGAAAGGCGTTCTTTCCTCCGTAATTGGCATTCTGATGTTTGGAGTGCGTCTTACCCCTGTTGGATGGTTAGGCTTAATCATCAGCACCATCGGAGGCATGGCCTATTCTCATGCACATACAGCTGCGCATCCAAAGAAGGCTTGAGAAGCGGATGCTGAGTCGAGAGAAGCAAAAGGCCGATTTCATCTATAGACATTTTGGCCGCTCTAGATCATCATCCAGTCATCCAACGGTTTTCACAGTGCAACAAAATCAGTCCAGGCCAGGAAGGGACGCTATTAGGTTGGAGGCCATCGCTATAAGAAACAAAGAAAAAGGAAAAGGAAGAAAGGTCTAATAGGAGCAAGGATGCTACTAGTAGCCCCTGGCCTTACTACTAGTAACAAGAAGCTACTAGGAACAACGGGCATCGCTACTAGGAGCAAGGACGCTATTAGGTCTTGATGGCTCACACTTCGAGGCCAGCAAGGATTTGATCCGGGCCTCATCTGCACCAAGCCTGCAAGCGGCTGCGACGTGCAACTTCAGGCCGACCATCGCGAGACCCATCCCCTTGACGAGCCCGATTCTAGAGGAACGCGACAAACAATGGTGAGGGATGTCACTAGAAACAAGGGCACCGCTACGAACGGAGCAAGGATGCGACAAAACTACTACAGGCCAAAGACAATGGCGTCACTTTTTTTGAGTGCTTGTTCCCTGCGGAAAGTCGTCGCTTTTTCCCAAACACAAGCGAACTCTGTTGGTTGGAAAGGGATCTACTTTCAGGTTGTATGCTGGGGCTCTCATCGAAAGATGTTTCAACGCCGTACTGGCAATTCATGAGGGGTTAATAATGCCTGCTGAAGCAATGAGTTTCTTATTCTGTAGTGGGTCCTGCCAGCAGTCCACAAGGAATTTTCTACATACATGCGAGACAAGTACAGGAAGCAACACGCCCCATGTCACCACTTGTCACCAGCCAGGAGTAATGGAGACTGACGGTGTGTTTTGGGGCACTGAAATTGCTCGATCCACCATCGACCAGAAAACCGCAAGCAGGGTCGTAGAGTCAGCAGAAAGAGTCATGAGTCCTTGTTGAAAGTGCACATTTCAGACCTAAGATCTCTCCAATGCCTTCTTCAGTAGCTGCTACTCATTGCCGTGTTTGGGAGTTTCGCAATGTTCCGAACAACATGCATTTCTTCATAATGTGAGTTATAGGCACTTCATGGTCAGGTGGATCCCAGACCGAACACAGTTTTAGAGCCAGGCCCCGCTGGGAGATGCCAGCTTCGATCCTGGACACCTCGGAGGTCGTCAGACTCCTAATCCTCGCAGTGCTTGACGGGTGGAGGCCCATTGCTAGGTACATGGCCACCGCTGCTCGTAGCAGTGCTCCTAGTGCTCCTAGCTCTTTTTCTGCCATGTGAGACGCTTTCGACATTGCGAACGAAGCGCGGGCTATTCAAAGCCAGCCAAGCCAGTAAAGCCAACCAACGGCCATGCCAAGCCAGCTAGCCAGGCAATACCCAAGCCGGTCGGCTGGCCAAAACCTGAGTAAACTGCCATCAGCGAAGAGGATTGAACTACCGTGGTTAGAAACAAGAATGGGGAGGCCCAATCGCAAGAAGACACGCAAGGCGCGTGCATTCATAAAAGGAGCGTTCTGAACCAGAACACAGAGGCTCCTGGCTGAGGAGAGAGGTTTGACTGTATGTGAGAAGGCTTGTGCACTCATAAGAACAGACCCCGTAGTGGCAGACAGGTCAAAGATCGCTGCAGTTGATGCGGCTCACGTGAACTCACGAGTAGCAGCCACTAGCAGCCTCTTGAAGCGCCGAACTCTAAGCCTGATTGCACTTGCAAGGGTAGACACTTGGTCAGGTGGCTGATTCCTCAACAACTCCATACCGCAACAGCTCCCCAAATACCATCCGGCCTGCCGTCCGATCCCAACATAGGCACTCTTGAGCACTCTAGACTGTGATGACTCAGAGGTTCATCCAAAGAGTGCTTTCGGAGTTGCTTCCGTGTCACGGCTCGTTCCCAGGATCTCTTCAAGGCCAAGTTGCACTGGTGCGCTTTTCACATGTGAGCGCACACATGTGTCGCGTGTTTCTGACGCTGAGCTGCGAAGGAGAACAAGTTTGAGATGTCTCAGAAGTCCTTGTTGCCAACCTACTGGAGGCAGGCAATGCAGGGCGAAGCAGGGAAGAATCCATGTATATACAATTATAGAAGAAGAGGTTAGAAGAACAGTGAGGTGATGCAATGTCACCACTTCACTTCTGATGATTAAGTGGCAATCAGCATCCTTGTGATTTGCCATGGGTCATGCGCGTCAACAACACAGAAATCTTTGGAGCGATGCCCTTACCCCTAGTAGCGTCTCTGCCCCTAGTAGCGTCCCTGCTCCTAGTAGCGATGCCATGAGCCTCTATTAGGAGCGATACCCTTGCTCCTGGTTAGTAGCTTCTTGCTCCTAGTAGTGAGGCCAGGAGCCCCTAGGCCCTAGTAGCGTCCCTGCTCCTAGTAGCAATGCCCTTTGTTACTAGTAGCGTCCTTACTGTCAAAAACCAGACCAATCGATCCGAAAAAGATCACGAGCTCTCCACGGCCCTAGCTATCTCAACCTGCTCTCTCAGGCTCAGCTGTTTGCTGTTTGTTGTTTCCACAACCCGCTCCAGCCAAACGCTTTTGGACAAGTGACTAGTAGACCAGTAGACCAGTAGCAGGATCCTTCAGGGTGAGCCTAGAGCAGTAACAAAGCCCAAAGCCTTCTTCTTATCATTGGAAAGTGATGGAAAGTGTTAAAGCCTCTGCAACCTTTCAGGGAAGGACCGAAAAAGGAGCGGAGAGAAAGAAGATCAGGTAAATTTACATGTGAAAGAGGACCTTTCATGTGAAAGATAAAAGGTCCGTTTTTTAGGTTGGAGGCCATCGCTGAGGTCGCTTGTGCGCTTGTGAGGCCCAAGGATCCGAACCTCGATTGGCCGGCTCCAGGCTTTTTTACATCCATGCCATGGTTTTTCCAGGACAGAAACGAACTGCGCGAACTCCGATGGTAAAATGGTTTTTCCATTCACGTTCATGTCCACTTCCAGGAACGATGGTGGAATGCCCTGGCCCAACTGAGATTACGCAAACGAGTGGTAACCACTCAGTGGTTTGCTCCCAAAGGAGAGCGACGGCTACGTTTGCCTTCAGCTGGAAACCAGCTAAAACCTGACGTGGCCCCCGACCAGATGTGGCTAAGAAGCTGGGGTGTAGAATGCCGAGAAGAACCCAAATTTCTTATAGGAGCCTTTCTTGTGGGAAGCGCAGCTAGAGCCACCAAGATGAGAACATGCACAATCAAGTATGCATCCTTCTGGTGGACGGTATCGAAAGCTATTAGGTTGGAGACCATTGCTTCTAGGTTAGAAGCTATTTTGTTGGAAGGCCGTGGGGGCTGCGGAAAGACATCGCGTTTGCTGCCTAAGGCAGAAGAAAGTGGCTTGTGGCTCGAGACTGGGACAGTGCTCTGACCTAGTAGCGATGGCCTCCAACCTAATAGCTTGGCTCCAAATCTGCACTTGTCAAATAATCTGCACTGTCCCAGCCCCGAGCTTTGAAAGCTTTCGGCCCTTTAGGCCACCTGGTTTGTATCTTTCACAGCTGTTCGGATCCTCCTCGAGCACCAAAAAGATGGAGACGGTTTGACTGCAGCTAGCGAGAGATCGAGCTTACCATGTGCTGTGGAGCAATTTCGGGAGACGAGCGTTGTGCTCAAAAGTGGCATCGTCGTGGGCGCGCTTTAGCTGTTTGCCATGCGGTAACCAAAGCACCATGGAGGGCACAGCCATAACTGCAGAGATGCTGCAACAGCTGTATCAGACCGACGCACAGCCACAAGCTGAGCACGCCGCTGATGTGCAGAGCAATATGCAGAGCAATGCAGCCAATGCGGCACTACAGTGGCAACAGATGCTGCAGCAGATGCAGATGGGAGAAGAGTACGAAGGTCAGCGTCAACAAGACGCAGAGCAGATCAACCAACTTACACCAGAGCAGCTTGCACAAATGCATGAAATGATGAACCGACAACAGCAGGAAGTGCAGCAGAACCAAATGGACCAAATCAACAACTTTATGACCCAGCAAGAGATGCAGATGCAGTACCGGTTGCAACAAGAATCTCAGGACATGCAAGACGAAGACCAGTACCAGGATCAATATGATGAAGAGACGCAAGGGCAGTTGCAGCAGCAGTTCCAGCAGCAGATGCAGCAGCAGATGCAACAGCACATGCAGCAGCAGATGCGGCAGCAGATGCAACAGCAAATGCAGCAGCAGATGATGCAAGATCAAACACATCAACAAATGATGCAAGATCAAACACACCAACAGATGATGCAAGAACAAACACATCAACAGATGATGCAAGAACAAAC